AATGGCGAGACTGTCCGACACAAGCTCACCTCAGTGGAAAATGTTATAATCCCATGAAACTCGGAAGAGCTCTGTGGTCATGTCAGGGTCTTCCCGGCTCCCTCAGCAACTGCCAGCACTAGGACATATCAGAACTGTCCGCACCGCCGAACTTCTCCAAAAACCACAGAACTCCACAGAACTGGGCTTCTCCGCGCAGAACTGAACTCAACTCTGCTCAACTCTGTGAGAACTAGGAAGTACCGACATTTTAAAGAGCTCTTTTCCCGGTTCATTTGGGAGTCTTCCCATTGGTCAGAACCGACCAGACGGGGTGTGTTTTGTGACGTAAGAGGTTAGAAGACAGCAAGAATTGTTATGGAACAGATCAGAAATGTTCTCAGAGACATAGAGAGTTTTGTTTTGGCGAGTTTTAGAAACAGGTGCCAACTCCTTCTGTTTACGTCTGAGAGGATGTAAACAAGACAGTTGTTCCAACACATGTCTGCTTCGACTCCTGACCCTGAAAAACGCACACTTGCTCATTCAAAGACAGAAATCAGAAAATGCATAATTACTCTGTAACAGCTTTAACATGAATTCTAACTTTGCATGAGAATTAAAAATCATTACACTGTTTCAGTTAATAAAATCGATTAGTTCACTGCAACATCTAAAATGGTTTGAACTAAGACACTTTGATTATCAACATTTGTAAAATAGTAATGATAATAAAAAGAGAGTGTTCTTCCACTTGAATTTTCAAGAAAGAAAGTCTCAGGATGGGTGAACCTGTATTTCTGGATTCAAATCAATGAAATGACAGTTTCTGTCCCACAAGGTTCTTAAGGTCAAGGGTTTTGACCTTAGGCTTAGTCTTGACATCAGGATAAGTTCACTACAACATCAACCGCTTGCAAAGCAGCCAAAACATCACCCAGACTGTCAACATGCAAAGAATCATCCCATGGCTCGGGACATCCCCCACTGCCTCTCAAACAAAGCACTATCAACTGATACGGGGACTTGCCCCATCCCGGCACAACTTCATCACTCGTTTTCTCTTTTCTTTTGAACATTATGCGGTCCTCTTTCCAATATCCTGTTCGTGACGCCAAAATATTTTGGGATATTTATTTAAATAAAACCAGGATTCGGAAGAGTGATCAACACAATGGACAAAAAGAAAATACTCAGATACTGTTCTGCTAGAATAATTGTGTCTTTATTATTCCGCCACAGATTACAGCATAACAAGTAAAGCAAGGTACAATCACAGATGTACAATCATAAGTATCGATGATAAACAAGCTCTCACCGTGACACAAGGCTGGAGAGCCAACTCAGCCTAGGTCGAACCAGAACACTGACACAGCTGGACGTCCCGATCGGTAGACTCACAGCAGACTCTAACCTGGTCCAAGTGCTTCTTCTTTTTTATTCTCTCCCTCTCTTTACATCACATGAGAGCGTTTCCAAGTGAAACAAAACATGTTTACTCGAAACTCAGAGCTGCATTCCAAAAATGGTAACTCCTTTCCATCTGCGTGGAGGGAGTGAAGACTTATCTTATCTGAGGAAAAACATGCTTACTTGAAACTCAGAAACTTCAATGTAGCGTGTGAGGAGGATGAGCCAAAATCCTACTCTCAGGCTTCCCGAGTGATAAGCAAAAAACACTTCATCACAGTTCATTTAAGTCCCAAGTGATAAGAACATTCCTTTCTGCAAAAACACTTCATTATAATTCTGCAAGTCAACGCTCCTCTCAGGCTTCCCAAGTGATCAAAAACTCTTTATATAATAATTCAAACGGTCAGAAAAACAACTTTTTATTAAATTTACAACTCATACATTAATAGATAAAGTTAAACATTTTAATGTTACAACACTGACCGGCAGCAGCAGTGTAGAGTTTAGCTACCTGTTAGCTGCGAGCTAGCTTACTTTACAATCAGAGGCTGTTTCCTTACACAGTTACAGAATGGTAAATTGATAATGATGGATAACGTCACCACAGCTAACTAACACATAAATACTGTTTTTATTAACCTTACCTTGCACTATATCTTGTAATTTAATCTCTATAAATAAAGGTTGATGAATGAAATTCTGTGAAGTTTACAGACAGGTCTCCCGAGGGAGAATAGACCCGGAAGAACTGATCAACATCGAGTCAGAACGTCAGTTGTCTGACGTCATGTGAAAAGGCTCTAATGTAAAAGACTGCGTGTTTGAATGAATAAAGTATAAACAAACCTTTTCTTTCTTCCTCTTCTTGTGAGATTTATTTGCGGTTGGAAAACGTCTTTCTTCCTCCAAGTTTATTTTATGATTTGTTCTTTGTTCGACTGCCCCTAGTGGTCTGGAGCACTTCCGTTTTTGTGGAGTTTGCGGGTGTCTTCCACTGTTTGCAGCGTTTTTCTGTTTGTGTTCTCCTTTGTGTTTGCATGTGTGTTTTTTTAAGTTTGCATTTTTTTGTTCATCCATCCATCCATTATCTTTACCCGTTTATTCCATTTTGGGTCACGGGGGTCGCTGGTGCCCATGTCCAGCAATCACTGTGCGAGGGGCGGGGTACACCCTGGACAGGTCTCCATCACAGGGACACATAGAGACAAACGAGACAAACAACCATTCACTCTCTCACTCACACCTAGGGACAATTTAGAGTTACCAATCAGCCTAACATGCATGTTTTTGGTCTGTGGGAGGAAACTGGAGCACCCGGAGAAAACCCACGCATGCACAGAGAGAACATGCAAACTCCACCTAGAAAGGCCCCTGGACCGGGGTTTGAACCAGGGACCTGCTCGCTGAGAGGCAGCAGCTCTACCAGTTGCGCCACCGTGCTGCCCGCATTTTTTTGTTGTTGTTTGCATTTTTTTTTGTGTTTGCATATTTTTTGTGTTTGCATTTGATATTTTAGTGTTTGTGTTTGTTTTTGTTTGCATGTTTTTTTTGTGTGTGTGCTTTTTGTTTGTGTTTGCATTCGATTTTTTTGTGTTTGCATTTTGTTTGTGTTTGCGTGTGTTTGAGTTTGCATCATACATGTGTTTGCTGCGCGTTTGCACCCATTGGCCACCGTAGATTAGGGACAGGTGTCAATGATTAAACCATACCATACAATTTTATTTATAAAGCACTTAAAACAGCAACAAGGCCAACCAAAGTGCTGTACAGACAGAACAACAGACAACACACAAAGCAAAATACAAAATGAGGTAAATCAGAATATACACATAAAAACGAATTAAAGGTTGGAGAGGCAGACTGAGGAGTGAGAGGAAACTGACAGAAAACAGAGCCAAATACATAAAGAACAGACTGACGCAAGAAGCAACATCCAGAGCCACCGTGCACAGGCGTGCGCAGAAAATGGGCTACAGGTGCCGCATTCCCCAGGTCAAGCCACTTTTGAACCAGAAACAGCGGCAGAAGCGCCTGACCTGGGCTACAGAGAAGCAGCACTGGACTGTTGCTCAGTGGTCCAAAGTACTTTTTGCGGATGAAAGCAAATTTTGTATTTCCTTTGGAAATCAAGGTGCCAGAGTCTGGAGGAAGACTGGGGAGAAGGAAATGCCAAAATGCCAGAAGTCCAGTGTGAAGCACCCACAGTCAGTGATGGTCTGGGGTGTCATGTCATCTGCTGGTGTTGGTCCACTGTGTTTTATCAAGGGCAGGGTCAATGCAGCAGCTATCTGGAGATTTTGGAGCACTTCATGCTTCCATCTGCTGAAAAGCTTTATGGAGATGAAGATTTCATTTTTCAGCACGACCTGGCACCTGCTCACAGTGCCAAAACCACTGGTAACTGGTTTACTGACCATGGTATTACTGTGCTCAATTGGCCTGCCAACTCTCCTGACCTGAACCCCATAGAGAACCTGTGGGATATTGTGAAGAGAAAGTTGAGAGACGCAAGACCCAACACTCTGGATGAGCTTAAGGCCGCTATCGAAGCATCCTGGGCCTCCATAACACCTCAGCAGTGCCACAGGCTGATTGCCTCCATGCCACGCCGCATTGAAGCAGTCATTCATGCAAAAGGATTCCCGACCAAGTATTGAGTGCATAACTGAACATGATTATTTGAAGGTTGGTGTTTTTTGTATTAAAAACACTTGTCTTTCATTGGTGGGATGAAATATGCTCATTTTTTGGGACAGGCATTTTGGGTTTTCATGAGCTGTATGCCATAATCATCAGTATTAAAACAATTATAGACCTGAAATATTTCAGTTGGTGTGCAATGAATCTGAAATATATGAAAGTTTAATTTTTATCATTACATTATGGAAAATAATGACCTTTATCACAATATGCTCATTTTTTGAGAAGGACCTGTATATATCCTGATGCATGCTCAATAATCCAGGTAGAAAAATCAAAAAAAGTTAAATCTGGTGCTCTGGACATTCAAAAAAGAAAATGTAGAAACGTTTCGTCTCTCATCCGAGAGACTTCCTCAGTCTGAGGAGCTGTATTCAGCTCAGTCTCTTAAATAGCACCTTCTCAGAGTGGATC